AGATTGAATAACTATTCTAAAGCAGCCGTTGGAGTGGTTCTTAGTGCTTCTTATACAGCTAATATTGAGTCGCTATATCCATTACAACATATTTCTAGTTATACTCTCGCAACAAAGTTGCTAAAGAGAGTATTATAGTTTTGTTCACATAACGGTTGTTTATAAGTCCTAAACCTGAAAGCGTCATATATAGGGTTATATATACTAAAAAGATCAGGGTAACGAGTAGAATTGAAATCCGTTCGTAAGTCCGTCTGTCCGAGCAAACTGTAACTTGAGTAAAAACTGAGATATCATGATGAAACTTGGTGCACGTATTTCTTGGCTCTATAAGAAGGTTAAGTTCGAATACGGGCAAAAACGGCCCACAAAATGGCGAAAACCGAAAACCTATAAAGTGTCATAACTAAGTCAAAAATAAAGATATTAAAATGAAATTTGGCACAAAGGATCGCATTATAGAGGGGCATATTTCGACGTTATTTTTTTTTTTTTGGAAAAGTGGGCATGGCCCCGCCCCCTACTAAGTTTTACATATCTCGGAAACTACTATAGAGTTATACTAAATTCTATGGAGACGTTTCCTTCACGCATTTCCATATACAGTTCAAAAATGGAAGAAATCGGATAATAACCACGCCCACCTCCCATACAAAGGTTATGTTGAAAATCACTAAAAGTGCGTAACCGACTAACAAAAAAAACCACGGAAACACTCTTTTACGGAAGAAATGGCAGAAGGAAGCTGCACCCTGGCTTTCTTTAAAAATTGAAAATGGGCGTGGCGTCACCCACTTATGAACCAAAAACTATATCTCAGGAACTACTCGACCGATTTCAATGAAATGTATAATATTTTGTTAACACCTTGATGACATGTACGAAATATGGGTGAAATCGGTTCACAACCACGCCTTCTTCCAATATAGTGCTATTTTGAATTTCATGTGAGCCTTCTCTGTATACTATATATACATTAGGAACCAATGATGATAGCGGAATAAAACTTTACACAAATACGGAATTGAGCTGAGTTATCCCTTGTGGAGAAATTGTCGTGATCGGACTATAACTTTTCAAGGTCCCTGATATCGAACACGAAGAACTCAGTGAATAACCTAACCTAACCTAATTTTTCACCGAAAATAGCGGTAAATCTCTCAGATATTTTCATGTAATTCAGAGGGCATCATTCTTGTACTCTCGTAAGCGCCGCGCATACTTGAAATCACAACGGCTGCCATTTCCACGATTTTTTATCCCTTCAAGTGGTTGTCAATAAAAATGGCATAAAATAAAACGCTATCGTAATGGTGGATTTTATGAAGGCAAGGCCTTGCAAACAAATAAAAACTGCAAATGAGCACACCATATTCGGGAATATGCAAAAACTTTATGCCACTTGAGCGCACAGCAGCCTCACATAACAGTATTTACGCGTTGGTCCTTTGTATTTGCGTCAATAATAAAGTGATCGGCGCGCATATTATGAAAGCGAAAGAGCAAAACTCAACAATCTCTCAAAAAAAAAAAGGAGGCAAAGTGAACAAGAAAAGTCAAAAAARCGCAGCCATTAAGTATCGACATTACAACTCAGCCGCCGCTCGCATCTCCTCACTAAAGTCATGTACCTGTAATGCGCTTGAAACATCTGGCCGCGCGATTGCTGTAGCTGCGTCGCTCAGCTCGCTTGTTTGGCGCTGACTGAGTCGATGACAGGCCCATCAAAAGCTGCACTCACAGTGCCACTCAAATGACTCGTAATGCTGACAGTATGCCGACGCCTGCCGTTCGGTATTGGTGTCAACGTCAACTCAATTCTGCGACTCCGCGCTGTCTCACAACTGCACCGATTGCCACACCTTTCGCCGAACTCACGTACATATGAGTGCCTTCCTGCTGTAGACTCATACTCACTTGCCGGCAGAGTGTCATGTAAATGCAGTGAAGTAAAAATGTAATTTCCCTGGCGCCAAGCTGTCARCCCAGAAGTCACCTGTAGCAGCATTAAGTAAGAGAGACATGTAGTGGATGAGAGTGGTGTCTGAAAATATTTAAATTCGCTAAAGCAACATGGCAACTCTTTTTTTTATTTTAATTTTTTCTTTGTGCAATGCGTGCGAACGCTGCAGGCAATCAATCGCGCTAACGGTAATTGTGTTTTTGGCTTTCTTTGTTTTTGGTATAACTGAATTTACCACTTACAAGTAATATGTAGCTCGCATCGGCGCTTCGGCACCACGTATTTACATAAATACGCAGCGTAAAAGATGCTTCAATTGGGACCAAGAATGTAAGAAATGCTGAATTTTTTCAACTCCTTACATGAATTAGAAAGCAGGCCACTTTACTTGCTCGCATTTAACGACCTCTGCAATGTGCTTCAACGTTTTCATACGGTTCATTCAATATGCCTTATATTGGACCATGGAGATGTATAAGTGATTTGATGGCTACGAAGTGCCGATAAGATTGTTGGATTTGGTTTGTTGAAGACGCTAAAAAATTGCAACTGCTTAGAGGTGCTTAGAGGAGATCTCTTTTTAAAGGCAGAGATTTTCTCTAAGCCATAAAAAAAATCTCAGACCAATCAGATACTGTTCTATACTTACTTAACTTAACTCTACTTCTGCCTAACATGCGAAGTAATCCTATAGATAGCAGATTTATATTTAGCTTTTTATGGAATTTGACAGAACCGATCAGCCACTCTCATGGAAACCTTTACACCGGAGAAATCTTGTCAAGAAATTTGTTTTTTGATAACCTTCTCTCGAGGCGAATTTTTCAGCAGCAAAGTAATTCACCATAGACAGAAGCTGTTATTAAGCATTTGAAACCAAAACCGGACTATAAGATGGATGCATTAGAGCCTCCCAACTAAGCTTCCGAAGCTTCTCGTGAAACATTATAGATGTGTGCTGCTTGACATTGTCTTCGTGGAATACAATTCCAATCCCAAAGGCCACAGCCTGTCCCTTTTTGGGCAATTGCTTACTTCAAACGTTCCATTTGTTGACAGTAATGGTTCGCATTAACAGTTTTGTCGTAGAAAAGCAGCTATAGTACATGAATTTTTTTTAACCTCACCAAACATATACCACACGCTTTTYCACTCAACGTTGTCACAAAAGACCCAGTTTTTATCACCACTAACTTTCAAGGCATGCGTATCGCAAAGTTAGATCAACGGACACTGCCTTGCCATTATTGTCTCTTGGCTCCAGAAGAGCATACTCATTCCTCGATATATCGAGAATGCTGCAAGGGAGCCATTGGCATACGATAAGGACTCTCACCAAAGGTAGTTATTTGGATTTAGTTAAGCCTGAAATGTCCTATGAAATCTTTATAAGGTGGAAGGCGTGGGAAAAGACTAGACTCGGAAAAAAACTGACAAGTACTGAAATAACTACCCTCATCAGTATATGTGGCCTTGGACCGATTATGCTCCGGGGTTCGAACCAATTTCAGCCTTTTCCAGCCATTCTATGGATTTGATGTGACAAGTGATTGTCTTCCACGCCAGCTAAACAATGTCTCCTAAGTTGGAGTATTGAGAACCATGGTATATGTCCGTTCTCATCTGGTTGAATCTGGGCATTCGCATACATAATGTAACAGCGTCTCATCATCCTGCGCGCATGCTCTTCATTCCGCTGTGCTTACTTTTCCCACTTCTGAAGGTGGTATCTTAAAGGTAAATGCCGTGATGACCCCTAGAATGTTACCAAACTACCGATTGCATAGAAGTACGAGCGTTTTAGTCTGACCACCATTAACACTTCCTCAAAGTAACTTTGTAGTATGCCATTTGTTGCTTATGTTAAAAAGCCTGAGGTGTTTTTTAGGGTTCATTGCTTCAAACAACCCTCAAAGCCATAGCATGGCATGGGACAGCTAAGCGGAATTGTGACTTCAGCTGTCCCCAAGTGAGCCAACTTGTCTGCCTTTTCATTATTTTTAGTCATAAGTCTCCAGATACCTAGATGATATTAAACAAGTTCTTGACCGCATAAAAAAATCCGGATCCGTTTCGGATACGTCGTGTGAATGGATTCAACTTTAGTGTTGAGTTGTTTAGCCGAAGATACCGAAACTAAGACTCCGAAAACTCTGAAACTCAGACTCCTCCTTTTTGGCTTCTTCCGTCTTTTCGGCAGCAGCCCTAGTACTAGCAACTGGAGCAGAGGCAACAGCAGCAGCAGCAACCAACTTGTTGAGGTTCTTGATGCAACTGATTACTTCAGACGGTCGAATTATTGACTGGACTTCTTCGACTTGGGAGTTTAATCATAGTGGGGCAGCTTTTAGTAAACAATTCGCCGGCTCATCCCGATTCGATCACGAGCGCTTTTGCTTGACGTTGTCGTAAGTGACTCTCTTTGCAACACCAGTAATCGGCCGCTTCAGACATGGATCGGTTTTGTTGTGATTCGCAGATTAATGTAGTAGTTTAGTGGTACCTCGTTTGAAACATATATCTGCGTCGAACTTCTTTTTGCATACAACTATACTTAAATGGTTCCAAACGGGCTTTTGTGCAATGTTTAACTCCTGAGCAATAGGACAATGTTTACATGACGGTCAGAAAACAGAAGCTCGCTWTTTACTCGAGCAAATTCCTTCCTTCTAAGAAGCCTTCTGGAGGCCCGAAATAGTATATATATAATTACTTTTAACTGCGTTTAGCTTTAAATTCAAATGGAGCAGAGCTAGTCTGAAGCTAGTCAAAAGCTGTCACAACTTCTTCATGGTAGCAAGTTGATCTAGAATTAGCGCGGTATAAAAATAACAGGCTAGTAGAAGCGCTATCTGTAGAATTTTCGACTCAACTTTGGTATAATTCTTTAGATTCGAAGAGCAATAAAATGAAGAGGTTTTAGACAAGGTTTCATAGAATTCTCAACATCTAAAAATTTTATTAACAAATCGAAATACAATTTAAAGCATTTTAAACTGAATTCCAATTTGAAAYGAAATTCGTAAACCAGACCGTCGATTATGATCGAGCACTATCACTCTCACCACCAAACCACCACAATCGCGCTGTAAGTTKAGCCTTGTCACTTGCACATGCCACAACTCGTTACAATTATATCACGCTGCGGTTTACCGCTATTGGTGCCATAGTCCTGCACGGCATCCAATATCCAAAGGCCACGCCGCACACGACCAAARGCGATGCGTTTGCCATTGAGCACTTTCAGCGGTTTGAAACTGATTGAAAAGCTGAGAAACCGCCGCTTGCTGCCACGCACATAGCGGCTGGGAAACGACAATACACCAGCGCCGCTACCGTGATCCAATACAGTCGTATCGTGTTCGATACTATGAGCCGTCAGCGTCTTATTGTCGGTTAATGCAAGTTCRCCTTCCAGCCACATCGGCGGAAAGAGACGCGTAAAGCTCATGCGTTCGCCATTCTCTGTGGTGCACATACGCACAAACTCGAGCACCACCTCTGGACAGGCCTCGGTGAAGAGCTGTATAACGATGCGACCCAACGGACGTATGCCCTTCACTTCGAGATCGAAGAAGATGCGTGGACGCAGCAAGCGACGCAACATAYCCTCATCCGTTGAGACCGTGATGTCCTGATAGCGTTTCAACACGTGCAGCGGTATGCCGTAATGCTTGCTTTCATCGCGCATAATAAGTTGGCTTGCCGCGGCGCTGCTTTGTGTATTTTCTGTGGAGTCTTTGGGGGATGTGTGATGCACGCAGCGCTTACGTTGGCTCCTCTGCAGCTCGTAAGAGGAGCGATGTGGTGGTTGTGGTATGCGGGTGTCGTCGTTCCATTCTTTGCGTGTGATGCGATGCCAAAAGTGGCGTAAAGGCATAGCCAGGCGTGCATGCTGAAAGGCGGCGCGCTGCTCAGCCGACGATGGTTGCTTGACTTTTTTGTTTTTATGCTCAGCAAAGCTGCGCAAAGGCGACTCGAAGTGATGCACATGTGAACCATGTGGACCAATAATGGCCATGCCGCTGTTACTGCTGAAGCTCTCACCTCTACGACAACGCGGCACATAGTTGCACGAGGAGCGTCCCTCTTCGCAAATATCGCCGGCCGGATGCTGTGGGAATTTCTCATGCATATCGACACAGGAGGCCATGCAGTGGCGCCCATCGCCAGCGCCGCCACAAATGCAGCAGCAGCCGAATGCGCCGCAAGATTTGCAGTCGTACAAGAGCATCGCAGACTTGTCGTGTTCGTAGCTGCCGACCGTGTCACTGTTGCTCATATTGATGCACGATTTGCCAAAACGTGCCGGCGGCGTTATGCGCGAGGCCGTTGTCGCCACAGTCGAATAACTCGTAGTGCCCGTGGCCGAGGGTGTTGTCGATGCGGGCGCCGTGGTGAAGGTGCGCGAGTTGCTGCGCCGCTGTATGGCGGTGCGCACGGAGTTCATCATCTCGGTGAATGACATTTCGCGTCGCGGCCGATTCACTAGTCGCATCGGTGGCTGGCTGTTCACTACGCTCTTGGCGTTCTGCACACGCGCACGATGCGCTATATACTCCTGCTTGCGCTCGCTGTTGTTCGGCAGACGCATGCGGCTCTTGAGCAAGTTGATGCGCGCCAGACTGTTGGAGATGGAGGAGGGTACATGCCGCAGCCGACGTGCGCTGCGGACTGCGGTTTTTCTGATGGAATTAATGTTGGAAATTTTACTGCGAAATGTGACTGGAACAAGAAAATTTCACGTCTTGCAAATGTTGGCCGAATTGTGTACGGAAATATTAGCGAATTATCTCGGTTCGCAGAAATCTGTATGAATTTTCGTTTTATTTATTATTTGTCCAAAATTAAAAATTCTTTTGAAAAAAATGAAAACAAAAGAAAGAGTTGAAAATYAAAAGTAGCAAGTTGTCACAGAAATTAATTTTGATTGAAGAAAGTTTCATAATATTTTGGGATCAATTTGAATTTTATTGTAGAGTTTGATATTACAGTTCAACTTGAAGGTAGAGTTGTTATTTTTTTTACAAGCAATGTATTTTATACTTTTTCAAATTTAAAGTATACAATACAAGCACTTAGCTTCCATCGCCCAGTTTATATGACAGCTAACCTCCCCGTCTTTCGTAGGGTAAAATATCAACCCGTCCAAAATAAGCGTCGTCTCTTTTACGAAGCCAAGATTTCTGGTCCGGGATTGAGGCCCCTAATGCTTGGTGGGAGGGAGTTGAAGGTGTCTAAAGAGATTAAATCCCTAGACCTCACATTAGACTCAACCTTACGGTGGAACAGACACGTAAAATTAACACTGTCCACCAAGGCACAAAAAAGATGCAGAGCCTTAGCCGGTAGATCCTGGGCTGTAAGCCAGGTATCACCAGCTGGCTGTATAACATAATCGTAGGGTCTATTGTCACTTTTGGAGCGTTTGCTGGGGCATCGAAGTCAACGCAGTCTTTGGTAGGCCTTAACTTCCGCAGCACTTGCAGTCATACTGGAGATCAGACCGCTGAATGTATTGATCAAACAGGCAACGAAACATAACATGCTGGTCAAGCTAGCAGAGGGTTTTGTCAAAGGGAAGATAATGTCGTCTCAACTAATGAATGCCTTAGAAGAAGACACACCACACAAAGTGGATTGAATCCGCGCTCGACCTACTATGCAGGCTCAGCACTATCCAGTGGTACACTGATGGCTCGAAAACACCGGAAGGCGTTAGGGCAGGCAATGCGGGACCGCATACTATAAAATCCATACTAATTGGACGAATTGGAATTCCGAGCATCATTCGAGCAGAAGTCTTTGGTATAAATCAGTATGCAGAAATCAATTTGCAAATATCGGCACCAAWGGGAATCGTAGCGTATGAGGTTAAATCGCAATTATTGGAAGAGTGTATAGAATAGCTGAACCGCCTGTCAGTTTTCAACCGTGTTCACTGATCTGCGTGTCGGGGCATAACGGGGTAGCCGACAATAAGGTAGCGAACGAACTAGCCCGCTCTGCGGCACCTGCCAAGATGATGATTAGAGTTATGATCAACCTAAGCCGATGAAAATTCCGCCATCTTTCTTGTCGCGCTTTATGGAAGGCACTGCAGGCTCAGAAAGCATTTGTCCAACATGGTTATAGTCTCGTGTGCAAACTTTCGGTTTTGTGACATGAAAGGAAACTTCAGAACATCTGATTCTAGATTACCCAGCAATGTGTATAAGCAGACTCAAGGCCTAGACCTAGACCAGAATAATGGTGGACAGAGATCACCTCAGTCGCGCCCAGCAAGCGCCTGAAATTATTCAGAGTGCTCAAAACCTCAATCATTTTCTATTTCTCTATGACCACTATATGACATTGTGGCAGTTTCGATAAATAAATAATCAACTTCTTGAAAGTAAAAGGATGTGTGCAAAATTTCAGATCGATATCTCAAAGAGTGAGGAACTAAGACTCTCCCATAGAACCACTGATTAARTATTACTTTGTTGGTGTGACAGAAAACTTGAAAAGCGAGGGTAATAAAATAATACATGTTCAAAGTCTTCTATATACGTCGGACAGCTCGGACTAATATCATTGAGGAATCTGTAAAAGTAGCATCTAAAGCACCCATGTCCACTAAGTATGTTGGTATAAGTCTGTGGTTTCAGTGCGCTTTGGACGAGCAGTGCCACCGCTGCTGCCACATTTTGGCGCTTTTGTTCCATTCCTCTGTCTTTTTCAGATACTGTTTTAGGCGCTGATAGCTGATATAATCGCAAGAGTTCATCTCCTTGCAAGTAATTTAAAAACTGCGGCTAAGTATATCCACAAGCTCAGACCCTAAAGAAAACCTTGCGCAAATTTTTCGACATTACTCTAGGAGTCCATGCGATCTTCATCGATTCACTTATCTCATTTGCAGCCATTAGAAGGTCTATAAYATCGTTGTCTGGTTTGTAGGTCGTGAGTTTTATCTTTGTGAATCCTTAGCTGACTCGTGCCTTTAGCCTGAATGTGATATCTTTCTTGTCGACTGCTACAAGCAGGACTCCGGGGTATATCTTCCCATTCTTAATTATAAAGACTCTCTTCTCGGTACAACTAGTTCACTAGCCGATCTCTGTTAATCTTTTAATGTTGTCGTTTTTCTGCTGCAAATCTGATAGTACGAATACAGAGGAAAGTCGGCTTGGTTTCGCTACGCAAGTASGACTAACAGGTAATAGTAAGCTCCGTTCGCGACTGGCATATTTAAGAGCCCGAAGCCTGGCTGTTTCTCATCTAGTAAGACTTTCCATTTGAATTATGTGATATTGTGGAGCAGCAAACGCAGAAATAACTAATCAGACATTAGCTAGATATCTCCCAACTGCAAGAGYGGTGTAATGTTACTAGCCTGTCCTTGGCACCGTCGTCACATTATCCGGTATCTATTACTAATCCATATCCTTGAGAAGGGTTCAGCGGGAGATCTTTTAAAAAATGAATTTAGTTCTAAGGCATATTACACATTTTCCAGATGTAAAAAGTTCCTTAGACTACTTTATGCTTGGATGAATGTTATGTGGCAAACTGAACCGAATGAAAAATCTTAAATTATTGGCATTGACATGACCATGAGGGACCTCAACTAAACATGTGTCAATAACGACGGACATTGAAAGGCTTTTCTTTCATATTCGCTGTCGATTGCCAGAAGGCTACAAGAATAGCTAATACTTTATCCCTCAGGTGTAAAATGGCGCTGCTTGCCACACATTCCGACGCTTAACAAACGCATAATTCTAGTTTGCCTGTAAAACCGCACAAAGTGTTATTGTAAATAACAAATCTTAGCGATTTTCCAACTATGTTATTTCGACAAAGACATAACTGCCAGCGGGTGACAAGCGAAAATCTATGCTAACAAATTCACACAGACACATATTTGCAATAAATTGCTGCAACACGCGTGTCTGTGTGTGTGTGTGTGAAGCGCGTGCAATTCAATTTAGTAATTTCTGGCACATTTCAAAAACAACGCTGAGCCTTCAAGTATTTCACAAGGCAAAAACTTTATAATTAATTACATAACGATGTCTGCGCGGCTACACCGTTACACGCCATGCAACTTTGCGGCCGAAGGGGGGAAACTAGTTATTTGCGTTGACTGGGCGTCTAATTAGATTTGCGTGTTGCCAATGAAAAACAACAACAACAACCATAACTATAACAAGTGTACCGAGCTGATAAAGGTGCAAATGTGCATATATTTTATGTGGGGGTGTACAGGGCGTATACGTAACATATAGCATGCCGCTAATGCAGCGCCAAGATAAGCAGTTGGAGGGCGAGCAGCGCCTTTTGAGGCACACATGCAGCCACTTGAACTAATAAATTGCTGAAATGAGGCTGCAGTAAGCATGTTTGAAGCGCTGATTTAGCGCCAGTAAGCGAAATAACGATATAAATATGCTATATACAAATGCAAAGTCGAGCTTTAGTGCAGCGCCATTGAAGCGGCARCGCGTTTGAGCGCCTCAAGTGCGCACATATGCATACCTATCATTAAATGCAAKGTAACCGCCTGCCTATATCAACTTTGTGGCCTGCTGTATAAGCCGGTGACAAGTGTAATGTATAATGTGAAGTGCCAGAGGTGATATAGGTGAATGATGTACGTAAAAAACGTCACATGATAAACCTTTTCAAACCTCATTAATAACCAACACGACCGGGCTTGTAATTAAGCAGCCGAAGCACGCGTGCATTTGTGYGCATATCAGTTGGACTGCAGCACGTAAAGCGCTCATTTTCACGCCTACAAGCCATTAAATTGCGTATACGCCCTGTCAGCCATACATCAGAGCGCAGCCGGCAGTKTATGTTAATAATTCAGATTAATTTTATAAAATTTTGCCTTTAYATGGAAATATATTTTATGCATGTAATAATATATATATATAAAGATATTATGTACGTATAAGTGTTAGGGTTTGTCAAATTTAAAGATATAAAAATTTTTATTTTTATTTTTTTCCTAATATAAAGTGAAAATATTCTGGAAAATTTCGAAAAACAATAATCAACCGTTAATTTTGACTGCATCGAAGCTAAAATACCTTTCACAGTCCATTTCTTAAAGCATAATTGGTTTTAACTGGTCCACTGGTTTTAATAGGTCAATTTGTATGGCAGCTATATGTTATAGTGGCGCGATCTGAACATTTTCTTCGGAAATTGTACCGTTACTTTTGGAAATCATGCGTGCCAAATTTTGGCATCAAATAAAAAAGTTTTTCATACAATAACTTAATATCAATCGTTCAGTTTGTATGCCAGCTATATGCTATAGTGCTTTGATCTGAACAATTTCTTTGCAGATTGTATCGTTGCTTAGAAAAATTATTTTTGCTAATTTTCGTAAAGATACACTTGCAACTAAACAAGTTGTCCATACAATAAAATACAATAAAGTGCCTTTGAACAATCAGTTTGTATGGCAGCTATATGCTATAGTAGTACGATCTGRACAATTTCTAGAGARATTATACCATTGCTTTAGAAATTTATCTTCCCAAAATTTCGTGRAGATATCTCTTCAAATAAAAAATTTTYCCATACAAAAACTTAATTTTCATCGTGTTGTATGTATGRCAGCTATATGTTATAGTGGCTTGATATGAACAATTTCTTCGGAAATTTTACCGTTTTCTAAAATATTAATCCATGCCAAATTTTGTGATGATATCTCTTCAAATTAAAAAGTTTTTTATACAAGAGCTTTAYTTTGATCGTTCAGTTTRTATKTAGTCCGTCTGTCTGSGTTGSCKATATGSATAGCTTTCRAAATTTTTTATATCCTCTCATAACCACCATACTTTCAAATATCACAAAAATGTATTTAAGTAAAAAATT